AAATTAAAGGTATCTTGTATTATTAGATATATTATTATAAAATATGCTTTGGTTAAGGAGTTATTGATACTTCAAGTGCAAAATGATGATATAAAACCATGATAAAAATGCACTTTTAAGTACTAATCACTAAGATTTGAAACTTAATTATGAGAATTAAGAGTTGTTCTTCCAAATTAATTTGTAAAGAACCCTACTTGACTTATCAGTCTTTAATCACAAGAGTGTGGCGTCAAAATCCTAGATTGATTTTTTTGGCGTCCAAATCGACTTATGAGAGTATCATTCTAGTCTATCCTCCACCTTATTTACCTTAAAATCATTATAATCCAGACAAGACACCCAAAAGAAAGACAACACAACCAGACCCATCCTTCATCCATTTTGGTCAGATTCATTATTGCTGATTTTCGAATCATTCACAGCACATCACACACTCTTATCAAACCTGATTTACCTGGTTTTCTAGGAATTTGGCTGGAAGACAACATGTTTGCGCCCTTTATTGGCTTCGTTCGCATACACACAGTTCCTTTTTTCAATTTGTTGTCACACACTCTTATGGAGTGATGTCTTCACCACCTTTATCAACAAGTAAAGGAATCAAATTCATGAGATAAAAAGTGTTAAATCCATAATGGTGAAAGATTCAGTAGTAGATGGCGCACACTATGATTGTATACAAACTTTATAAATGGCAAACAGTCTTTTCAATTTTTTAAATTCTTCTGATTGATAGCAGCATGCAAAAGTTATGTTAAGGTTCTATTAACTACTTTGGTATGTCCATCTGTTTAAGGGTGACAAGTTGTTGAAAACAACAGTTTAGTACCCAATTTACCCCATAACACCTTCCAAAAATAGCTAAGAAACTTAACATCTCTATAAAAAACAATGCTCTTAAGAACCCTACGAAGCGGTACTGTCTCTTTAAAAAACAAATCAGCAATATTAGTTGCATCATCATTTTTATGACATGGAATGAAGTGTGTCATCTTTGAAAACCTATCAACAACTACCAAGATTAAATCCCTACCCTGTTTTGACCTAGGGAAACCTAAGGCGATGTCCATCAAAATATCTACCCATGGTTCTATGGGTACAGGCACAATCTTTTCTTTTCCTTACTTATACTTGATCGTATACAAAAAGAATTCAATAAATTTAACCATTTAGCATGTCTCCAACTCAACTTATTTTTTCATTTCAAGTGCTTCAATGATTTATGATCTGAATGTTTCACAAACTTCTTGGGCCACAGGTAATGTTGTCATGTCTTTAAAGTTCTTACCAAGGCATTAACTCCTTGTCATATGTAGGGTAATTCAAGGTCGCTCCATTTAGTTTTTCACTCAAGTACACAATGTGGCCCCCTATTCTACATCAACAAAACTCCTATACCTATACCTGAAGCATCACATTCAACTTCAACAGCACTCATAAAGTCTGGCAAAGCTAAAATAGATGCCAAACAAAGTTTATCTTTCAACAAATTAAAAGCCTTATCCAAGATCATTCCATTTAAATCCAACAAACATTTTCACAAATTTAGTTAAAGGTGTAGCGATAGTACTAAAATCCTTCACAAACCTTTTTCTTTTTTGGGTAAGTTGATATATGTATTATAAAGGGCATACCCTAGATTTACAATGAGAATAGAAACATAAAACAACAGATAGCTATAGGGTAGCCACCAAACAGAAAACTGAGACCTAACTAGATTCGTTAGGGAAACCAATACAACCATCTAAATATCAAATGAAGAATCTATGTTATTGACCCTCCAAGCTCTTTGAATCCTTTTGTTTTCTTCTATTGGTAGAACATTCCCCATCAAATCAAGCTTATCACAGATGATACATTTGATTTGATCAAAAACCAAATTCTGAGTTCTAGACATTCCTGCAAAGGTCCTGATGTGAACCTCGTGATCACGTGGTCACGCAACCCACAATCAAGATTAAGATCTGATCCTGAAAAGCTGAAATAGTTCTGATAGGAGTGTGACACAATAAAAACCTGCCCCAAGGCACCAACGCTATTGGATTGAGTAGAATGACGCCACGAAGCCAGTTAATCTTTGATAAGTCACATTCAGTTCGTTCAAGAACTAAAGAATGCCAGAATCACTCTCATACGTTAAAACTGAAAAAAAAATTTCAGAAGTAATTATCATCCAAAAGCACTGGAAATTTGGTTTACATGAGTTTAAATAGTTATTAAAAAGTTAACCCTAATGGATCCCTTATATGGACTTAAATAGGTCTGCTTAAAACTGACCCAAAACCCTAAACTAAAAAGCCCATAACTATTCTTGGATCCTAACTGAAAACAAAGTATTAATTAAGCCCAAACAAGCCTTGGGCTGTAGCTAACAATATAAAACAAAGCCCATAATATTAAATCCATTTTCTGTCATGAGAAGAAGAGAAGGAAGTAAAATATTACAGAACTGATTCAAGGCTTATTTATAGCCTTCCATGCAACCCTTTAATCCTAGAAAAAAAAAGAGGAAAAGGTAGCCACCCATGTTGTTTCCAAGTTGTAGAAGGATTCTTTTTGTTTCCTTTGCTGTCCTGACCTCATGGCCCAAATAAAGTTATGTTGGACCTCTCTTGCACATGGATAAGATGTACTAGGGTCTCCTCTTGATACTCTAATGGACCTTTTAATTCTGACTTGGTTGAAACATTCAAAA